ATATGCTAGTAAGATAGAATGTGTACCAAAAAAAAAAAAAAAAAAGATAGAATGTGTACCAAACCTTTGGACACCAGAGGTGGGTTCTTTTACCTTTATATCCACAGCCCTTAAATGTGCATCTTACTATCTACAAGCACAAGGAAAAGCGAGTAAAACACAATAGGAGTTCAGGGGCTAGAGAATTTAGCTTCTGCTCAGTAAATCTGGGAGAGTGATATTTGAGCTGAGCCTCAAAGAACATGCAAAATTAGTCATTTCCCATGAGGAAAAGACATGCCTAGTAGTGTGAGCAATAGCTTCTGGGTTCATTCTCCCCAGCCTCCTTTCACCTCTTTTGGGACCTCAGTATCCCGATTTTCCTTTGGTGGCCTGGTCCCTGCACTTCTCAGTCATGCTGTCTGTGTGGGGTTGGCCCGGCCCTGGCTTCAGGGTGGCAATGTGACCCAGGCGTGGCCAACCAGGCATCAAACTCCTCTGATCCAGTGACAGTTTAAAAGATGGGCCCATGTCCCAGTCTGAGTCAGGAGATTAAATCCAAGGTGGGCATTCTGGGAAGAGAGCTTTCACTCCTACCAGAGGATGGATCTACTCCTGGGGTTGCCACCAGCTACCAGCCACCAGGACACCATGTGGGAAGAGAGATGCCTTCAGTGAGAGAAGAAGAAGAGAGAGAAGTAGAGAGGAAAGCAGAGAGACAGAGAAAGACCCAAGAGCTGATGACATAGTTTGAGCTCCCAGATCTTGAAACTAGCCCATTCCTACAACCATGAGCCAACAAATGCTCATTTTTTCATAAGCCAGTTTGAAATGAGCTCCCATCCTGAATCAATAGAATGAACAGAATAGAGGGCTGGAAATACCAGTCTGATGAAAGGTAGCTGCTGAGACTGTGTTAGACTTTGACATTAGTATTCAGTTGAAGATGCAGCAATCAAATGACTTTTTAACCTCTTATTGAACACAATTTACACTGGTTGATCAGAAAGAGGATAATAGAATCCTGACAGCTTTAGCAGATCTACAGTGGATTAAAGTCTCATTTTGATGAGAAAACTGAGGCTCAGAGAGCTGAAGTGTGTAGTAGGTCCAAATTAACAGAAAGCAGGTGACCCCACAGAGAGTGGAATACTGAGGGAATGCTTGCAGGACAGGTAAACTGGGTATGGGCAGAGGAGTGGACCTAGATATTGGGCTGGGAAAAGTGATCTTCAAAGCTACTGTTCTGTGCAGCAGTACTTCTAAAATGAGGCTCAGGCTTCCACTGAACTGTGAATTGTTAAGTTCTTTAATCACTGCCCCCCCCCACCCCCCTCCACAAACAGCCTCTGAAAAAGACAATGTCCCTGTTCTCAGGAAGTTTGTTTCTGGGGAGAGAAGTTTATCATCTGCCTTCCCAAGTCATACTGTAGGCTGTGGGGGCACAGTTGTCTATTTTGTCACAGCCTAGCACAGTGCCTCATACACAGTAGGCCTTCAATAAGCACGTCTTGAATAAATGCAAGTAATAAATACAATCACATACCCCATAACATATTTTGGTCAATGACAGATGCTTGTATTTCAGTGTTCCCAACAGGCTGTATCATATGGCCTGGGTGTGTGGTCGGCTGGCTCATCTAGGCTTGAGTAATTACACTGTGATGTTCCACAATGATGAAAATGCCTAACAATGAGCCTCCTACCTGTATTCCTCTCATTAAATAACATCAACATAGTACTGTAAGTAGAACACAGGATGCAATAGAGAGTAACATGGGCTCTTGAGATGACCTGGTCAGGGAAAGCTTCCTGGAGAAGAGATTTGCGCTGACACCTGATTGATGTCATTTGAAAGGCTGAGGAAAATGCCTACCACACAGAGGGAACAGCGCCTACAAAGGCCCTGAGGCAGAAACAAAGACTAGCTGGAGTGGGAGGGCAGAGGGTAGTGTGACACAAATGAAAGCCAGGGGCTATATAGCTGCTGACCATAGTAAGAATTCGAACTTGATTCTAAACACAGCAGGCAGCATGGGACCACAGGGCAGTGGCCTGGTCTAACTTACGTGTTCAGGAGATGGTTTTGCCAGCTGTTTGATAGACAGACTGCAGTAGGAAAGACAAAAAAAAAAAAAAAAAAAAGTACGGCACACAGTTGGTCTTCAGTGAGCAGGCAGCATCCATCACTGCCCCTGAGGTCACATTCACAAAGGCTTGCCCATGTTCCTTCCAGGCCAAGAAATGTGCCCTTTTATTCTCTGGTTCAGAGTTGTTCTAGCTGCCCGTGTACTGTGATGGTCAGATGGAAACCAACAGACTAAGCTTCGGGGGAAAATCCTCGCCACTCTTTTGGTTACAGTACAACCCAGGAGCCAGGGTGGGGAGGTGCACACGGCGGGGGCGGGAGTGGGAGCCTTCTGTTAAATGTTGAGTTGCTCCCAACATACTTTTCAAACATTCGTTTGCTTTCGCCCAGTCTCCTCCATAAGAGACATGCTTTCGGATGTGTTTTGAAAAATATTCCATATGCTAATGGAATGTCACCATCTGCCAAAGAAGGCAGAGCTGTTTTGAAAGGAAAAACTATTACAGAAATGAGGTATTCACAGAGGGGCCCTAAAGAGCCCAAACGTCGCTGACCTGAGCCTGACCTGGGCCGCCTCGTGTTACCAACATGAAAAGGGAGTGAGAAAATCTGAGGCCAATTAACTTTTCTCTCTCCCTCTCTCCTCCCTCCCTCTCTCCTCTTCTCCCCTCCCCTTCTTGGAGACATGATGAAATTTCCTGAAACAAAAACTTGCAGCCCGTTCTATAAAATGCTTGTGCCTTTGGTGGAAAAAGCCCGATGGTCCCTTTTATCTCCTCATTCCTGAGGCGCAGACCTGGCCCCCAGTCTGTTTTTGCAGATGGGCTGCAGGGAACGCTCCCAAGGAGGAGTGGGGCAAGGGCCCAGCAAAAGGGAAGCTGCTCTGGGTGCCTGAGCCCTGGCCTGGGAGAGCCTGTGGTACTGTCTTGGAAGAAGTGGGGAACAGGATTAGGTGTCCTGAGGCCCCCTCAGTGGACAGGCACTGTTCTGGGAGGCCCTGGCTGTGGCTGCTCACAGGTCAAGTGTTGGAAAAAAAGCGTTTTCCAAGTTCTGGGCGTGTCAAACCCCTACCTTTCCCTCTGATGGGCCCTTGTGTCACCTTGTCCCGTGTCTTCTCCAGAAACGCAATGCTCCCTTCCAGGCAACCTCCTGGAAGGCAGCTCTTCTTGAATAGCTTTCGCACCGGTGGGGTCCAAGTCCACATGGATCACCCTTTCACCCCTCCCCCAACCCTTCCTTCCCTGGTTATCAGCTTAGCCTAGGGTCATTCTTACCTTAAAGCTTTGCCTTTCCATTTCAGCCTGGAGCAGTGTATGGCAGTTCCTGGCTCTGCTGACATGGTCCGGACCTTAGCCAAGGCTCTTCACAACACTATCACAGTCTGAATGTGCCCTGTGCACTCACCCCGGACCCGGGAGGGTTGGCAGCCCTAGAGAGGGTGTCTATTTGTTCTGGAATGTAAGTGTTCTGAGAGCAGGCGTCCTAGCTCTTGCCCTGACAGCCCCACCTAGTGGCACAAATGAGACTCAACACTAAACCTGCATGCCTTCCCAGGTTCTAAGCCATTTTGGGCCACAAGCACCTTTGGCCATAAAGCAATTCTGCCATGAAAGGAAACTAAACAAAACATGGTGGGCAGTTTGCTTTCATTTCTGTTTTCACACTTTCAGTAAGTCTGATCAGTGAAAAATAAGGGGGAAAAAACATATGAACAAATGTTTCAGTCAGAATCCACATTTTCTATGCAGAATTGTTATCAACTGACACCTGTGTAAATGTATTCACATTATCAAGTATATTTGTATGCCAGTGTCTTGTAGTTTTTATTGCTATTTGCTTTTCATGTTTCATAATCCCCTTATCCATTCTTTTCTGTCTTATGGCAAAATTTCAAGGTTTGTGGTGGTACAGGGTTATCGTCAGTACTCCCTCCTACTTCAACCAAGTCACAGTTTGCCCATCTCCTCAATGTCCCTCAGAATCACACTCTTCTCGCCCACTTCACTCTTTCTCTCCTGAATCTCCACATCAGCCATCCACTGGCCAGGCTCAGCTTAATGTCTGCCAGTGGTTGCTCACTGCCCATCAGGGCAGAACCCCCATTGCTCAGCATAGTCATAAATATACACCATATACACAAACACAGCTTTCTAGACACAGCGACTGATTATCTGTAAGGAATGCAGAAGACTGTTTAACAATGATTAGGGGCTGACAGTCCAGGGTGAAAGGGAGAGTTACTTTTTAACTCTCCGGGCTTGTGAACTGGTTTTGTTAACTTTGTGCATACAACCTATTTTTGAAACTTTTTTACAAGAAATGTATGTGGGCGCTATACTGTATCGAAATTCTCTACTTATACCTCCAAAGTCCACATTACCAACCAGTTGACTGGGGGGTGGGGGGTGGGGAAGAAACAGTGATACAGAAAATTCAGCAATTACTTAGGACTTCTGAGAAGTCTTCGGATATTCTACTTTAGTGTCCATCCAATGATGTGTGAATCTGCAAACATGAGAAACAACAATTTCTGGTCCCAAGAGTAGGGCAGCAACACACTTCACACGTCCACCCCCTTCCTCAAAAGTCTGAGAATTTACACCACATCAAGTCATGTGGGACATGGAAGGGGCCATTTTCCAGTATTTGCAGTAACTTGTGAAACAATTAAGTACTGGTGGAAACAGATTTGTTGGGGAAGAGTTTCCAATGAGCCCCCAGCTCCTGGTTAAAAGGGGCAAGTCAGTTTTCAGCATAAGACCCACAGCAGGGACTGTCATGATCTCACTTTCTTACAGGCCAAACACAGTTTGCCTTTAGCCTCATTTTACAAAGGACTAGAGTTTTTAACCTACAAACTTACTGGATGTCACTGAGCTAACTACTACATACTAAGTTGGTTTTTTGTTTTGAAAAATTTCTTAACAGAACATCAGAGTATTGCAACACTTTATTAAGAGTATTGGCTTTGAATTAGTAGCTGAAGTAACAAGTGCATGAAGCCAGATTAGGTGTACTGCATAATACTCATACTTAATTTACTGACATTACTTAGCAATTTATTGGACAAAGTTCAAACTTTTTGTTTTTTATTAAGCACATTCCACAGTACAAAGCTGTCATGAATAATATCTGTACAATTTAACAGTTTCAATAGCTGTTCAGACACAAATTTATTTCAAACAGATAATTGGCAAACATAATTAATTACAAGTTAGAATTAGACTATCCCAGTGCTTTAAAACATTAATATAGCAGTAATTTACACTTGCTCAATTATGATTAGCAAAATAAAGTCCAGAGAATGGCTGGGAATTACAATTATAATCCCAGAAAGTCAGAATTCCTTGGGTGCCGAAGTCCCCTGCCATAATTTAGTAGGCACAATTCAAAGGTTGTGTGCATATTCTAAGGCCATGATCTCCCAAGGAACAAGAATTTCTATGTTAAACATGCAAAAGCAACAACACAAAGTCGATTCTGTCAAAAGAAAAGCCTCCTCCCACTCCCCCCACCCCCACCCTGGGCTCTCTTAACCAGTTTGATATTAAAGCTGGAGGATGAAGAGTGGTCAAAGTTAAATCATTTTCACAACTGCTGTCAAGCATACATCTACCTTATGAAAAGAGGATTTTTTCTTTATATACTTTGCGACACAACTTCTCAAAAACAAAAATTAATTTAGCAACAAGGGGAGGGGGTTGAAAAAAGGAAAAACTAAGAAGCAAAAGCCAACCCAATAAAACAAATCACATACACACACACATTGATCCCCACACCGTTCTCAATGCAAAAGACAAAGTAGAGCCCAGGGGCCTTCCCTTTATAGTAGTAGAGTGTGCTTCCACGGGAAGAGGTTTAATGAACAGGAGGTTCTTATTGGTCCTTTAAAATGTTATGACATTCCTTGATCTTTGGAAACAATGGCAAGGGGCAAATCAAAATCTAATACCAAACACGGGAAAAGAAGTGCCAACTGGATGCCAAAGTCCTTTCCATGCACGGTTAGCGAGAGTGCCATTCACGTGTCCAGGCTGCACAGCACTCGGGAGCTTGGAGAACCTGCCGGGGCCACAGCAGCAGGTGACAGAGATGACAGGGATGGGGTTCATGAGCTTGAGGCTTTGCACCACGAGGAGATCCTTCCACTCCAGATGGGCCTGGAAGCTGCCTGACCTGATATACAGGCTCCCACATCCTGCCAGGCCCTGGTAACATCCTGACTGGGCCAGGATGCATGAAATCTAGAGCCAGGAAACCCAGTCAACTGGGCCATCTTGTTCTTCCCTTTCCAGGGTGACTTACACACAGAAAAATAATTTTTGACAGTGAAGTCAAATGAATACTATGGAAAGTGACCACTAGTACTCAGGAGTATTGATGAAGAACAACAAAAAAAAAAGTTAATGTACCTCTCTATTGTGTATACTGCACAACAAATAAAACATTCTGTGTTAAACTTTAGAAATTACATTTTTAAAACAAGATTACCATTAAAAACACACACGCTACACACACACACACAATGACAACAACAAAATAAAAACACCGTATGAATACTGCAAGAAGGGTTCTAGTTAATCCACATCAGCCCTGGGATCAGGTTCTCGAGCCAGCCCACAGCTAAGTGTGAACACACTCTGTATTAGTGTCTCAGGCCCGGGGCCCTGACTCCAGCAACCTTGAGGTTAAATTGTTATGTACATTGTATCTACATGCGGGTACAGTATTTAAATTAGGAGGCAAGCACACACATAAAGGTGTTACTCTACCAGATATCAGATGGCTGGGGTACAGAGAACAGTTCATAAAAGAAAAGAGTTATATTACCTGTTGGGAGATAATATAACCTGGCTTATAGTTCTTTAAATTAAAAGAAAAATTGGTACAGAAAAGAAGTATAATTCAAAAAATATTACTAAAACAATCCAGAGAAATTTTCCCATTGTCCAACATGTTTCTAATACAAGTCAGAATTCATAATGACGTGGACAGTCAAAAGGAGAATGCTAATTTCTGAAAAGAAAAGCCCTGGACATTCTGGGTAGGTGTTTGGCACCCAAAATTTCACTGAAGAAGAATGTTGTTTCTTAATATCAGACCAAAGTGCAAAGCAATATAAATTAGAGGCCAAGTCTTCTCTTGACGGTCAATTAACTTCTGTAAAACAGACTGTACGTTCCTTTTATATGAACAATTTACATTTGAAGCATTAGATTTTTTCACTGATGGGGGAGGAAATGGGCTTCTGTTCTACTTGAAGTCAGTGAAGCTAAGGTATCCTTCTCAAAGTAGAGACCAGAATCGGAGGTGAGAAATGTCGGTACTTGAAGAGTTAGGCTGCTTTGCATCTACCCAGCGTCTAGAACCAATTCCAGCTTCATAACTCAGCTGTGAAGAACTTCCTTAGGCATTTGGTAGCCACGTAGCCAGTAGTTCAAGACTAGGAAACCCTGTGTGAGGAAAATCCAAAGGGAGTTAAGATTGGATAATATTCTGATTAGATACAAATATATACAACAGCACAGCCCATCCTTACCCAGAGACACCCACATGTGTGCATGCAACACATAACTGATTTTCAAAGATTAGGCAACTAAAATAGAAACTGCAAGTTGTTTTGAGTACACTACATACCAAGCATGATATTCACGCAAACTTCACATGAGATAGAATGTATTACACTCACTTCACAAATCAAAGAACTAAGGTTCAGAAATGCTGTTTATAGCTCAGGATATTAGCCATTAAATGAGGGAAAGGAAATTCAGAGATGCCTGGCTCATAATCTACCGGCTTTCAGAGCTGCCGGTAAAAATTATGCATATAGCACAGTATGTTTGATGTTAGATTTCATTTTTAACCATAATCTTTTGTGACACCTAGAGCCTACACAGACCTATTCTATATTCTCTAGCAAGCCCTCATCTATCACTTAAAACAAATAAGCAAAACTAATAAATAACCCTTCCAAATAATCAGAAAAGACTTAATTTTGAAGTAAATCGTTTATAAAAGGACAATGGTATAAAGTGAAAGACTAGTGAATGTTCCATATTTTTTGACCATGACTGTGCATAAAAAAATTTTAATCACAATTTTTATATGTACTCCTGTATATTAATACATACACACAAACACATACTCTCTCTCACCCTAAGCAAAACATAAAACGGTACTTATCCTTAACATATAAAAAAAAACAAGTTGACATACTCTATTCTAAACTTCTTCAGAACAGAGTCAAAATCCACTAAAATGATTTAATCACCAATGGGTTACAACCCTTCCTAAATACTGCACTAAGCCACTGGCACAAAAGATCTAAAAGTCACCTTGAGTTCAAAACTTCTATGGCAAAAAAAAAAAAAAAAATGATTTGGAAAGCCTGTATGCTTTTTAAAAAAGGTAACTTTCCTAAAAGGTTATCAGTTTTCATAAAGATCAAGTATCCTAGTAATCCTTCACAATGCATTCAAGAAAGATTCAATTTCTTTTGTCATTGGTTTTCCAGTAATAATATTTGTGAGTACCTGAAATATGTTAACACAGATAGAAGTAGGCACTTTAAGATCTTCTGGTAGGAGTAACTGACAACTATTCTGGAAGGGAGTGTAACTCTATGAATCAAGAATCTTTAAATATCGTACCTTTTAACTCAATACCCTAGACAGTTCTAAAATATTATCTAAAGACATAAAGGATTGGGTGGAAATTGAGCTAAAACAATAATCATGGCAATGTGTTTCACATTGATGAAAGGATATATATATATATATACACATATATAACAAGATGGCATATCTTGTCTGAACAATCATATTGTTGTCATTACAAAACGGAAACTTAAATAATTACTGGATATAGATTTTCACAAGAAATGGGGTGGGGGGCATATTTAGAAAATATGGATAATTACCAGTCATAACTTTTAAACACCCAAAAGAACACATACAGATCTTACAACATTACATGGCAGTAATTGTCTCCAAGTTAACCATAAATGAAAAGAATTTCAAAAGAGCAAGAGAATCTATAAAGATGACTGTCAAGGTCGTCATAAAGTAATTTACTTTGAAGGGACAAACACATTTGAGATTTCATCACTAGTACTGCTTAAGAAGCAGGTGGGCCCTCCCCGGTTGCGCAGCGGGTTAAAGCACTGCACTAAGAAGCTTCCACTTCCCCATGAGCTCGATCCCCGCCTGCCCCGGAGGTGATCCAGGTGATCCACATGGCGCGGCAGACCTCTCCTGACCCGCCCGCTGCTCCCCTCAGCAGTGTGCTTCATCAATGGGCCTGTTCTGCTCCCCCCCCCCGCCCCGTCTCTGGTGAAGTCTCTCGCCACTCCTGCACCTTTGGCCTGTACCCCAGTTCTGTATAAATAAATCTTAAAAAAAAAAAATAGAGAGAGAGAGAGAAGCAGGTAAGATTATTTTTTACCATTAATTTACAGCTGTGGATCAACAAGACAGTTTCTTAGGTTCTCAAAAGAGGGTAGCAAGAGAGCTTGGAAGAAGTAACATTCCAGTTTCTGTTGTACTATAGCCAATGAGAGAAATAGCAATGATGACCATTATTTCACCTCTCGAAGGAACCTTGTTTCAGACTAATGTCAAGTAATATATAAAGGCTGTCCAATTTGTGAAAGTTTACTGTGCTCCGTAACTCATCTATTAAATATACTATGAGGGTCTCGGATTTTATCATGTGCCTCTTTAAACAGACTGTAATATACAAACACAAATGAGATGTACTTGTGTTATTCTATGACACTTACTCCAAAGTTCACCCATTCCATAAACTCAGCTACAGGTGAAATTGTTCATGTCCTATTTTATGTTTCTCTTGTATGTGGAAACATGATATCAGAGGCAGGACGTAAGCTCAGGCAATACACAAAAGGAGTTGGGAGCAGGTGTGCACCCACCTACCCCAAGTGGAACACATATAGTGCTGTGGCTGCGTAACGCTTGGTTATGATCGAAGGCCCTCTCAGAGGTGACAAGAATCTTCCCTTGACCAAACTGTGGCTAGCCTCAACTCTACCATGGACTATAAACTTGAACAGTAACTGATAATTTATAAAAGGAAAAGTTAAAAGAGAATAAATTCAAACAATGTGAAAAGACTTCTACACTGAAAACTGAAGCACTAAATTATATAGATAGATATGAGTGGTATAAATATAAACCTATAAATAGTGGTAGAATGACTTTTTTTAACAAGATACCAAAGCAATTCAAATTGTGGTGGGTCAACTAGAGAGCTATATGAAAACACAAGACAGGGCCCTCACTGGTGGCGCAGTAGGTTAAAGCACAACACTGTGAAGCTAGCTGCAGTCACTTCAGCACAAGTTAGATCCCCAGCCAGGGAGCTGACCCACATGGCGCAGCAGACCTCTCCTGTCCAGCCCGCTGCCTTCCTCAGCAGTGTATTTCATCAATCTGCCTGTTCTGCTCCCCACTCTGCCTTTGGTATATCCTCTCCCCCCTCTCCCCGACACCTCTGGCCTCAATGCCAGTTCTGTCTGCATAAACAAATCAATCTTTAAAAACAAAAACCAAACAAAAAAAACCAAAGTGGGTATCATCTATTTTATACAAATCGTACCGCAACAAAACTGATTTAAAAAGACCTATGGACAGGGCCCTCCCTGGTGGCGCAGCGGGTTAAAGCACTGCACTACGAAGCTTAAGCCACTTCCTCATGAGTTCAATTCCCGCCTGTCCCGGAGGAGTCCACATGGCGAGGCAGACCTCTCCTGGCCCGCCCGCTGCTCCCCTCAGCAGTGTACTTCGTCAATCTGCCTGTTCTGCTCCCCACTCTGTCTCTGGTGAATCCTCTCACCCTCTGCATCTCTGGCCTGTACCCCAGTTCTATATGAATAAATAAAAAAAAAAAAGACCTATGGACAGAGCAAAGAGACATGTACATTCAGGGCACTGTCTTTGTTGGGAATACATACAGTACCTGACGAAAAAACAGTTTAGACAGACAACTCGTTCCTATTTTTCACTGTTACTATCTTTATATTTGCTGAAGGTGACTTCAGGGATATGCAGTAGTTTCTTACACATCCACACCTACACACCCACACCCACACACACCCTTCTCACTCATTCATGGCAAATTTTCGTGTGGCACAAAATGAAGGCCCTGGGTGTCACTTGCCCAACACACACCACAGAGCACTCATAACCCTCTGGACACTCTAGCAGACACAGGCTCCACAATAAAATGACACCACAGTCTTGTGAGGGAGACGGAAATAAAACTGATACTACACAACCAAATAATAAGATAAATAACAAAGGGGATCTACAAAGCAATAATAATATAAGCAGAGGAGAAGTGGCAGGGTCTGTAGGCCACAGTGTGATTAGGGAAATGAAACAGAATTCATTCTGGTCAGGGCATGGATTTTTGGAACAAGACAATGGCAAGATGGTGACACTCCTGTCAGCTCATGTAGATGGTTAAGAATTAATCTGAAGACCAAAGGGAGCCAGTGAAGCAGAGGATGGTTGAGTCAGAGCTAAGATGAGCCTAGTAGGAAGCAGGATGGAGGGTGCTTTCATTTGCCTCCATTTTTCCTTCCCTATAGGTTAGGTTTTTGGAAAGGGAGGTGGGAGAGGAAAGGAACAATCATTCAAGAGACTCTTGCCTTCCTATAATGTCTATTTTTAGAGTCCATCATGTAAAAATTCTGCCATGTGACTTTTCAACTGATTTGTGAAGACTGGTCCACAGAAAAAGCAGCAAGAGATGGTTACTCTGACAAGCTACAGTATAAATACACTTAAAACAAGAACAGCAACTCTATCTGTAGCTTACAGCTCATGACAGGGCTCACCTTCCGCACCCAGGCAGAAATGACCAACCCCCATGGTTCTTAGTTCGCTGGGGCCCAAAAGGGGTCCCAGAATCCTTTTGAAGGCAGCACTCAAGTGATCATTACTGATCAAATCAAACTGGCATGAAGGAAAAGTATTTGCCATTCCTGATGCAGACCTTTGGTTTATCACTAATAGATGAAACAGGGGCAAAACCAGAGGTCAGCAGGTCTTAAACAGCCATACAGTAAATATTTTAGATGTTTCAGGCCATATGGTCTCTGTCCCAACTACTCAACTCTGCCACTGAAGCATGAAGCCAGCCATAGATAATATATATAAGCAAATGAGTTTGGCTGTGTTTCAATACTTTTATATATGGAATCTGAATTTTTATATAGTTTTTAGGTATCATGATGTATTCTTTTAATTTTTATTTAAGTATTTAAAAATGTAAAAACTGTTTCTTAGCTAGCTGCAAAAAAGATCAGGCAGTACCTCTAATTTGTTCACTGGTTAAACCCATAATCAAGACAAACTGCCTGGAAATCTATTTAATGGGTTTTAGAATCCTGAATAGGAACATTTGAAAGGATGGTAACAGGTTGTCCATTTCTCATCATACAAAAAATTCCTCAATTTTGCACACAGACTTTCTTTACATTTCTAATATTCAACCAATAGGAAAAAATAAGATGACAAAAAGCCACTATGAAATAAGACATGTTTTTAAATAAATATGAATTTTATGAATCACATTGCCTTTACTATGCATATATACATAGTTTAGACAGGCACAAACACATTTATCCAATCGACAAAATTTGATTTGCAAAGAATTCATTAGTCTCCCTTGAGAAAGTCTCAGTTATGAACACTGCTCCAGATGACCAAGGCCACAGCACCCAGGACATAGCCAAGTTAATTTTGTAGCCTCTAGGCCTCAGATGCCTCAGAAAAACCTAAAAAGAGGAAAACCTTTAGCCAAAATACTCAGAATTCCTCAGTTACCAAATGGCCATCATCAATGTTACAGTAGCCTAAGTCTTCTGTAACCAGACAGAGGACTCACTTCTGGGGTACCCGTTTGTGCCTGATGGATGAAGGACAAGTTTTAGGGGCTCCCAAGAGATAAATATACTCTTTGATTCCTCTTCTAGGGAATGGGGTTAGTAGGTAATCTATTAAGTATTTAGATTACCTATTAAAATCTATTAGGAATTCTGAGTATTTGGCTAAAGGTTTTCTTCTTTTTAGGTTTTTCTGAGCCCCACTGTCTCTAGTGAATCCTCTCAGCACTACCCCCATATCTCTGGCCTGCATGCCATTTTTCTATGCAAAAATAATCTTTTAAAAAGTACTTAAAAGGGGCCCTCCCTGATGGCGCGATAGGTTAAAGCATAGCACTGTGAAGCTAGCTATAGTCGCTTCTTTACAAGTTCGATCCCCTGCCAGGGAGGTGAGGTGACCCACATGGCTTGGCAGATCTCTCCTGACTTGCCCACTGCTCCCCTCAGCAGTATACTTCGCTGATCTGCCAGTTCTGCACCTCGCTCTGCCTCTGGTGAATCCTCTTACCCCCTCCACTGCACCTCTGGCCTGTACCCCAGTTCTGTACGTATAAATAAATCAATCTTTAAAAACAAATTACTTAAAAGAATACATAAATAAAAACAGGAACCATTTTGTCTGCCAATGTGAAAACTCACAATAGGATTCCAGACCTTATTTTGATATGACCATAATGATCTAGCCCTACAGCTAGAACTCTGCACAGTTGATGCATCTAATAAAGATTAACCACCTTGATCCCTATCACCAAGACACCCAAATAACAAAATCAGCCCAAAAGAAACGTAATTTCAATCAGCAAAATCAGAAGTAGGGGAAGTACTCACCTGTAATGGGTAAAGTGCAGACTGTTATCTGGAGATGTAAGTGTATGTTCTGGAGGGAGAACGGGTCTCATTCTGGGCACTGGGAGGCACATTTAAGAAATCCCAAATCAAAATAGTGTCATCGTGGGAGCTGCTGATGATTTGAAATTCATCAAACTGTAGCCGAAACACACGTCCAGAATGTTCCTGTGAAATATAACAGCTTGATGAATAAAATGAGACCTTTACAATCCCTCTAATCTCGCTATTGACTTGGCAAAGGCTAAAAATGCAGCTACTTAACCAAGCTTCCTAATAAATAATTTTCTAGAACTAAGTGAGCTTTGTCCTTTCAGGTGCATATACTCCACCTTCCCTTTTAGGCTTCTCCTTTAATTAAACTTTGTATACTAGATCCTGGTCCATACATGTGTCAAAAGAGGAAAACTACCTGCTCTTTTTACAGATAAATCAACATCAAAAATAATGATAAGAAGTTAGAAGCATCCCTATCAAAATCAAGGAAAAAAGCAGGAATGATACTAATGCCTGAAGTGAAGAAAAGGTAAAGCTAGTGAAAACAAAAACCTATATTTTCAAATGACTGTTTCTTCAAAAAAACAAGAAAAAAAAGTAGACTATCATAAATAATGATTATGGTAAAGTTAGTAAATAAAAATAAAGTATTCCTATATACCACCCAAAAATCCATTGCACATAGGTTAGGGGGAGATTCCACTGCAACAGTATAATAGCGTGCTTTGTTATTAAAATATAACATAACCACACACACCCATATGAAGAAATTCCCAGAGCTACAGGAAGGAAATATTTATGCCACAGGAGGAAATCAATCCACCTACAGATAAGGAAACCTGCGTTCACATTTTAAGCTGCATTAATTTTCTTTCTTAAGAAAAAGTTCACAGAAATGTAAATGTCAAATATTCTCTGACTTTGGCCAAACAGAATTAACAGAACAGAGCGTTTTCTGAAGGCATGCTGGGAGACAAGAATTCTGTTGGTTTGTTAGGCAGGTCTATTTGCAGGCAGCCACCCACCCACCAACACATGAACCACCCTCCCATCCAACATGCCACATACCACCAAGGTGCGCAAACACAATGTGCTTGCTGGGGCTCGCGGGTCCAGAGCAGCTTGCAAGTCCCAGACTTTAATTTTCCTAGAAAAGAAAGTAAGACTGCAATTAGTGGAAAATTAATTAACATTTTATATATTGTTAGGCATTTCCTACTAGCTATTTAAACCAATTATACTTGATCTTGGAAGAAATAAGGCCCCTACACATTCTCAGCATTACTGAAATTTTGTAGAAATACTTATGAGAGACAAAAAACAACTTCAGGTTATCTAAATTCAATTCCTGACTTGATAATCTATGTCACCAAATTCATTAATCAGGGGTCTCTCTAGGGCTGAGTAGGTGCTGCTGACAGAAGCTAGGGCTCTCTGTGAAATTCCAAGGATACCTTTCTCTAAACTGAGCAAACACTGAAAGTTATTAATAGCAGTATAGACACACCAACTAACCCAGTTGTGAAGTATATACAAGGTTATCTCAAAAGGTTTGCAGCTGTCATTTGTTCATTTGGAAAGTCATGAGACTGTTTAAAGAGGATCTGTTCAATTCACCCTAAGCAGGAATTTACACACACACACACAGACACACACACAGACACACACACACACACACAGACACACACACACACACGGTCTGGTTGAATTTAGGACAAACACAAAGAACTAAATTCCTAAGCTATTCCCCGGATTTGCAATGATGGTAACCTACTGAACCCAGAGATTCTATTTTGCTACTGTGAGATTTGAGGCAAGACAGCTCATCCTTTTGGGTGTAAGTGGCTTCCTTGATCAAGTGGTATAATAATACCTGCCATCCACTAACACAAAGAAAGCAAATGGTACAGGCCCTAACACATACATAAATGTTTAATAGGCAGCTCTTTCCCCTCCTTTTCATATATTTGTAGCTGTGCACTTGAAAACTTGAAGCATACCCATCATAGGCCCCACTGACAATCCTCTTGTTATCAAACCGGATGCATCGGACCAATTCTTCATGTCCCTCCAGCACTCTTAAGCAGGCACCACATTCAATATCCCATAGCCTTGAAAGAAAACAGGTCTCTGTGAAACAACTGTATACACACGAACCATGCTGTCTCCACATTCTTTATAGCTGCCCTGTATGTGATTAGCACTATCTCACTTCCAGTCCACACTATCCATATACAAAGTTATTTGACATCATTTATATATATTTTAAGCACTAACTTGGAAGGCTTATTTCTTGTTTTATTTCCATTTTTACTGACTGAAACTTCTAAAATCATGAATTATTATTTCAATAAGGTCAACAAATAAGAAACCATCAAATGCATTCTCTTGATGTCTGAACTGATGAAACCCTGTAGTCAGAGGGTTTAATAAAAAAACAGTATGTGTGTTTTCCTATGTGTGCTATACCTGGAGAGTAGAAAGGAAGGGTGGGGACATACATAGAACGTTAGGCTTCCAACCACAGGTATGTCTAGGCTGCAGTCTACATGGTCCACCAAGGTTATACCTAATAGACCAGCATGGCAGTTCCCTTCTGAAAAGGCTTAGCAACAGCTCTTCATAGGTCTATATGTAAACTAAGGGTATCAGTTATCATCAAGGTCAAAGTGGGAGACATTCAGTAGGTATATGTACTGTCTTGGAAATATACTACTGGCTATATGCAGCATTTTTCTCGGCATATAAGTATATAACAATTCTGAAATTAAGAGATTTTTAATTTTTTTTTAAAAACCATCACTGGTTTTTCTACATGATTGGCAAAAAGAAACCACAGCAAACTAACCTGTAAAAAACAAAGAATTAGCAAACTAATTCTATAATGGCCTTATCTTAGCCTCTCTAGCACTAGCTCCTGCCACACATCCAATGAACATTTTACCCAGCTGCCCTCAGCAAATCTTAGCAGTGCCAATGATGGCGGCCTCTCTGATCTATTATGGATATGCAACTCAACAATGCCACTGTAACTCCATAAACCATAGAACAATCCACATTATTACCTTACAGAACTTCAAGAGATTCTAATAAGTGAAGAATTTCTGAAATATTAAATATTACAAGTACCACAAAGCTTGAAGAACATAATAGAACCAAGGTTCGAGTTCTAAACTGATTTTTTTTAAAGAATGAAAGTTTTATATATTCAATTCTGTCTTTTTCGTTATATATTTTATTTTTGTTTTTAAAAAGATTTGTTATTGTAACAGTTTTGGGAGAGATTAAAAAAAAAAAAAAAAAGCAAACGTCCATACAACCAGGAGAGAGGCAGAGCTTGTCAGTAAGAGAATATAGTGAGGCCCGTGTGAGTGTTCTCCATTCTGAGGTGCTCTTGGTATTAAGTGATCTTGGGTAGAGCCAAGTTTAAAAACCATGTGTATTGGTGGAATCTTGGGAGAACACCAAGGCGTACACAGTTTACTCACTTTAGTATTCAGAGCCAAACAGATAAATAAAAGTTTACTAAGTTTTCTTATCTGAAGTATCCCATAAGACACTGAGTCTTCAAAAATGAGAAATGAGTCAATACCAGAGTAAAACTGACCTGCCCTGTCAGCACACCAGTTTCTACCCACCTGATGGTATTGTCTGATGATCCACTAACAACCAGTCGATCCCTGTACTGGAGACAGGCAATGCCTCGCTTGTGCCCATTCAGAGTACGAACAAACTCACAGGTACTCGTGCTCCAGACCTAAAATCAAGTGATTTTTTAAGAATGAATTGCAGGACAGTCCTCCCATAATGTATCTTCTTTATAAAACATCAGTTTCTGAGGTGACTAAATACTTGACCCAATTCAAAGTCGGGAGGTTAGGAGATAAGAGTGGGCAGCATTAAAATTTTCTTGGCAGCTGAGTGATAAAACTGGAATGAAATCCAGAGGGACACCATGAAGACACCAAATCTTCAGTTCTTCACAAAAAGAGCACCTCCTGGATGGTTCAGACATTCATTTGTCTACAGGGAAGATTTTGGCTGGATTTTATGTTTTGATGTCAGCTGACATGTCAAATCCAATGGAACTGATGTGCAAAGCTTCACCTTTCAGATCCTCCTCTTTTCCAGCCTAGTTTCTGAACAACTTCATTTGTTTTGACACATCATTCCTAATATTATGTATGTGGAATAAATAATCCCTCTTTTGTAAAACCATCTGCAAGACTTAGATGTTCATAGACACACTTAATATATTACATGCCAAATAAGGAAACCCAAAGCAACCAAAGCTCCCTGAATTATTTCACCAGCTGCATTTCTAGCCGACTAGGATAAATACATATCCATATGTAAAAGAATGAAGTCTGATCCTACCTCTCTGTATGTATGTGCAAAAATTTAATTCAAAATGGATTAAAGACCTCATTAAGGGTCAGAATTCTAAAATTCTTTGAATTGACAAGAGTCAATTTCTGTGACCTTAGATTAGGCAATAGTTTCTTAGGACAACAAATGTAAAAGCAACAAAAATTGATAAACTGAACTTCATCAAAATTTAAATCATTTGTGCTTCAAAGAATACCACTAAGAAAATAAAAAGACAATTCACAGGATGGGAGAAAATATTTGCATGTCATGTATCTGGTAAGGAAATTATAACCAGAACATACAAAAAGCTTTTGCAATTAAACAATAAAGAGATAAATAACCCCAAAATTTTAAATGCAAAGACATAAAAATGGTCCATAGCACATGACAAGTGGCTCAATATCATTAGAGAAATTCAAAGTAAACCACAGTGAAATCCAGAGCAACTAAAATAAAGGCAAAGTAAAAAAGACTAAGAAGGCTGAAATTAAGGGAAAAAAAAAAAGGCAGATGAAAATAAGTGATCATGTGAAGAAGTCCTTCAGGGTGATATTATGAAATGGCTTTAAAAAGGCTCAAACACTCTTGACTTCTTGGCACTGGCCTCAAACCAACTGGTGGAACTGCAGGGTAAGTGAAATACTGCATACAAACCCCTAGTTGCTTAGCTCCCAGACTACCCACTCAGAAGTCTGATGCTACCTAGTCTATGATTTGTGGGATTAGAAACTAGAGTGTAGTCCAGAGCTGGTCATAAAAATAAGTTTTTGGAGTCAAGTTCAAACCCTCATATTTTGTTGGCATCTGATGGCTTATAAAACAGTGAAGCCACTTTGAAATACAGTTCCTCAAAATGTTAAACCGATTTAGCGTCACAAGAGAATTGAAAATATATGTCCACACAGAAATCTTGTGCATGCATATTTCTACTAGCATTTCTCATGATAGCTGAAAAAGTGGAAACAACCAAAATGTCCATCAACTGGTGACTGGATAAACAAAATGTGGTAAATCCACACAATGTAATTTTATTCAGCCATTAGATGGACTGAAGTAGTAATACATGCATGAACATTGAAAACAAAACATCAAGTGAAAGAAGTCAGACTTAAAAGACCACATCATGTATGGACCCTTTTATATGAAATATCTAAAATAGGCAAATTCATAGAAAGTAGATTAGTAAGTGATTGCCAGTGACTAGGCAAGAAAGAACCCTTGTTACCTAAGTACAAGCCTCATTAGCAGGGTTTACTACTAATGGATATGATTCTTTTTGGAATGTGATGAAAATGTTCTGGAAATAGTGATGGTTTTACAACACTGTAAATATACTACTACTAAAGGCAACTAAACTATATGCTTGAAAATGGTGAATCTTATGAATTTTAGCTCAATAACATAACAGTATAAGAAAGCTAAAATTTTAAAAAATTAACATGACTATCAGAAGGAGTTAGTTTTGACTATAACTACTTGTCACGTATCGGACTTCCACTTCGTGTCACGCCTCTTTATGGCAGGGACACAGCTTGCTCACCATCACACCTAGCACCTAGTTGCTTAGCTTCTAGACCACCCAATCAAAGTCAATACCTATTGTAGCACCCAGTCGAGGGTTTACAGCATGACAGGCTCTCAAAATTAGGTAGAGGTCCAAATCTCAGATCTGTTGTTAGCGAGCTGTATGGTCTCCAGCAATTCTGAGTTGCAACTGCCCAGTGGAGCTGCATCACTAATGTACCCATCAGAGTGCTGAGAGGGTGGGATGTAATGGTAACAGACAGCTCCTAGTACCAGTGCATGTTCAACAGTTTAGTTCTCTGCTCTTCAAAAGGTTATCAATGTCATTTTATGTAGCAGAGGACAACTCTCTATCCTGGACTCATAACCTGTTCCTCCCTACCTTGCCAATATTCTGGAAGCCCACAGAATGGCAGTGTGTCCATGATTCAAGCACAAACAGAGAATAAAAACCCTGCTATCTACTGGGTCAGTATAAGCCTCCTTTGCTTTCTCTCTGCTCTGTTTGATAGGCACAAACAGGGTTATGACTCTAGATGCTTACTTTGATGGTCCTGTCACCAGAGGCAGATACGATGTACTTGTCATCAAAATCTACTACATTGACAGCAGCACGGTGCCCCACCAGGACACGGCGTAAAGTGATATCGGTAGCGGAAGCCATGTCCCACACAGCGATGGAGCGGTCCTTGGAACAGGTCACCATCAGTCCATTGCTGAAGCGTAAGTGTAGTACAGCCTCATTATGGTGGATCAATGTGTTCAGAACTTCACCCGTGTTCACATCCCAGACTCTAGATGAGGACAGAGAAGTATGATTCTTAACAATTCAGACAACCAGGAAAAGATTTGTCTATGCTCTAAGTCCATTTTTAGCAGCAGACTGGGAAGAGGTAGACTTTTCTGGAAACACTGAACTTGATACCTATGCACATGCCTCAAAGGATACCCCAGAAGCAGTTTCTCTGATGAGTATTCAGATGATTTTATCAACACAAAAGGATGAGTTTCAGCTCTAGGCAAGTTATTGGACAACCAGGTATTTGGGAACTGTTTGCTGAGACTGATGGCTAAAAATGCTTTCTCAAGCAAACAGGCCTTGCAGTGAATTTCAGATGACAGAAGGCTTGGCAGCTAGGGAAGTGAAGAACACAGTTCCTAAGGCTGACCTCTGACAGGCCTCTGAGTCTGTTATTTACCCACCATGAACTGCAGACTCTAAGTCATGCTGCCTCATCAGTCCCCACACCCACCTATTTACTAACTGCATGATGGACAAAGCCAGTGTCTTTCAACAGCTTCACTCTTGAGCTACATGTGTAGACCTTTCACATTACAGTTTTTCTCTAACCCCATTTCCCATGAGGACAAGTTCACACAGAGGAGCGGAGGAAAGACTCAGACTTCTGAGGCCAAGACATGATCTATGACAGAGGCCTGGAAGCACTGAGTCAGAGAAAGGATATTCAGCATACTGGTGACTATTCCAATCTCTTAGGTGTGCCTGTAAAATAATCCTCTTCACGTCTCTGACTCATCCCAGAAGACACATTTTCCTCCCTCCCAATCTCATGCCTTCTCCTAGCTACCAACAGTCCAGCTAAGGCTTTACCGTCTGATCTCTAGGCTCCGATGAACTCATCATCATACTGAAATCAAAGCCGTCTGGTGTGGGAAATGTCCCTGTCCCAGTGGTTAAGGGGTAGATTCCGTAACGTTTTCATTCTGGTCTCTGTTTATCCTACCAGCAGTCCCTGCTTCTCTTCTGCTATGGAACACTACCATTTCCACCTTCATCACTCTGTCCTGAATGGCATCTGAAACTAGTGATTTCATTACTAGAAAGGCTACCTATATGAAGACTATCTTGAATGATATAAATTCAAGGTTCAAAATTAATTACATGAATTAACAAATTACTTAACCTCTCTGGTCTCAATTTCAGAATATATCTATTAAAAAAGGAAGTTAGGCCCTCCCTGGTGGCGCAGCAGGTTAAAGCACAGCACTGAGAATCTAAAAGCCGCTTCACATGAGATCGAGCCCCGCCTGCCCCGGAGTGACCACATGGCGTGGCAGACCTCTCCTGACCCGCCTGCTGCTCCCCTCAGCAGTGTACTTCCTTGATCTGCCTGTTCTGCTCCCCACTCTGTCTCTGGTGAAGCCTCTCATCGCCCCTGAGCCTCTGGCCTGTACCCCAGTTCTGTGTGCACAAATAAATAAATCTTAAAAAAAAAAAGAAGTTAATATCTATTCACTTACAAAGATTGAGTGAGAATTCAACAGGATAACATATAAAACTAGCACACTGTGTCCCTCAAAGGGTCTTGAGAACAACTTTTTTTTTTTTTTACTTTTTCTGTATTTGTAAATGAATGCCCATCACATTCCTGGAATACCCACTTTCTTCCTCTCTTCTTTGGAACAATTTTCCAAAAGAGAACAGATTTAATGTGCTTTTTATAGGAGAGCATGTTGTTATCTCTTCAATGCATGACAGGAGAAACAGGACCTACTTAACAAAAGCTAGTTTTCCTGCCTACTTTGCTTGAATGCATACACACCAGAAGTGATTTTGAAAAATACCAAAACATATAATCTATGTGTGCTGATCCCAGAAGAGGCTACAAATCATCAGTCTCTCAGAAAGGTATACTGTTCTGACCAGGGAAGCTTAATCACTCACCTCACTGTAGAGTCTGAAGAGCCAGTCACAATGACACGCTCATCATACTGGAGACAAAGGACAGAGCCCGTGTGTCCTGTTAACACTTTCAAACATTCCAAGCTGGTTTTATCCCAGATCTATTGAGATAAGAATGACCATAGACATTTAGTGAATCATATTTGATAAATTATTATTATTTCACCTTATTTTCTGAAACATAAAACAAACCTGTGGTACAATAAATAAGAGCAAGTGAACATAAAACAGAAATGCCATAGAAAAGGGAAACAATGAATACATTCTGAAAGAAATGCACTATGTTGTTTACTTTTTACCTACAAGCATTGTACTCACTACACTTAGTCTTTTAAAGTGGGTCTTCAAATAAAACCTGTGAAAATGTAGGCTTAGCCTCTGGATAAATAATGTCACAACATCTGTAAGTCTTTTCAAATGCATGCTTCTTAGCCCATTCTGTTTACATAAGAAATTTTTAATGAAGAATGAAATGTTCAATATTTCAAAGTAAAAACTAAAATCTGGGATTTTTGATCAAAAAATATATTGCTTTACTATAGGGTAAAACATCAGAATAAAAGTCACCCTGGAGCCTTTGCTCTACAGAAAGCCTCCAGGCGTGATGGTACACTGCAGAGCTGTGCAGAGTGCAGCCACCGGACAGTAACCACTATATGGTACTTTTAAGAAAAACAGATTAACAGGAAGTAAAATGTTAAACAGTTGTTTCTGCACTCCTACTTCTTTTAATCTTTCCAGAGTTTTCCAGGTTTTCAGTATTGTCCAAATACAATGGGTGATGGGACCTGGCTTTTTCAAAGACTGGCTTGTTAAAAATTACATCCCACATGGCACATGGGTAATTGGTAGTGGGAAGCCCACGGGTATTACAACTGAGATGGAAAAAGGCACAAAATGATGTAAAAACAGACTATTACACTATTAAAAAAAAAAATCCCATGAACCTGTTTCTTCCCTTATAAAATACCATCATAATTTTCAATGTCTCTAGAGCTTACTTAAAATGGCCGTCTTACAAGTGCTACAGACCTATAAGTGACTTTCTATAAAAGGAAAGCTTACTTTGATTTCTCACCTAGCGGAACCACAGTTACAGAAAAAGAGTGATAAGCAAACATAAGTTTACACAGAACAGAGTACAAAAGGTTGCTAACCACTGGTCTAGACGATCTCTCCAAAGGGCATTACTGCTCTTTGGTTCTGTGCCTTATAATGGAAACCTAAGTTAAAGATAAGTATGCCTCATTTAAAGAAATTCTTTAGAAACATGTCAAGTGCAAATGAAATGCAAGTCAGTGGCTCGCCTATGCTTTGTCAGGTCCTTATAAGTCTTATAAATAGTCTTATCTATTCCTTAAAGGAGAGTGCCAAATTTAAATAGTAGCATGTGTTACTCTTTCTAGAGTGTATTTGTGGCTACAGGTTAAGGCTATCAGTAAGTGCTAGATAAAAATAGAGTTGTGTGGTCCAATACATTTGGACGCTGGAAAAACTTGGTTTCCAGTGGAGGGCCCTTAGAGTTTTAAATGCTACTGTCATCTATGAACTTCTAACAAGTAGAAAGAACATGCCATGCTGTCTAAACTTTAAAGGTAGTTATTTTTCAAACAAATATCCTTTAGATTCACACCCATAAAATATGTTTTGAGAAACACTGCCATACAGAGAGGAAACCAACAAAGCAGTTTCTTTATATCCTATAATCCAAATGTTTCTTGCCCTAGCTATCTGAATTCCTGATAATCTATTATGTATGTACTTTTTTTTTTTTTTTTTAAAGATTTATTTATTTATTCATACAGAACTGGGGTACAGGCCAGAGGCTCAGGGGCGGTGAGAGGCTTCACCAGAGACAGAGTGGGGAGCAGAACAGGCAGAATGACGAAGTACACTGCTGAGGGAAGCAGCGGGCGGGCCAGGAGAGGTCTGGCTCGCCATGTGGACTCCTCCGGGGCAGGCGGCAGGCGGGAATCGAACTCATGCGGAAGTGGCTTCAGATTCTCAGTGCTGCGCTTTAACCCGCTGCGCCACCAGGGAGGGCCTATGTATGTACTTTTAAAAACAAAAACAAACAGGGGCCTTCCTTGGTGGCCCAACAGGTTAAAGCACAGCACTATGCAGCTCTCTGCAGCCTCCAGAGCATGAGTTCAATCCCCGTTTAGGGAGGTGACCCACATGGCATAGCAGACCTCTGCTGTCCTGTCTGCTGCTCACTTCAGCAGTGTATTTCAGTTGACCTGTCTATTCTACTTCCCACTCCATCTCTGGTGGATCCTTTCACCCTCTGCCAGAAGCCTGTAACCCAGTTCTTGTATGTATAAATAAATCTTTTAAACAAACAAACCCTTTAACTCACCCAAAGTAAAGCAATATAGGAAACAGGGCCAAGACAGAGAAAACCCACTATAACCTATATTCCCAGTTGATAATAACTTAAAACTCTAGACAAAATGCAGAAGCAACTGGCTGAGGACTCTAAACAGTGTGAAAAGAAAACTGGGGAGCAAGTAGGTTGTGGAAAGGAGTAAAGTTTGGAGAAACACAACTGAGATGGAAAAAGGCACAAAATGATGTAAAAATAAACTTTATTATAAAAAAAAAGTTTGGAGAAACAATTCCCATTAGAGAAGCTAAGGTGCTGTTTACCAGTTTACCCTTCCTTCTGGTTGGCATTTCCTCATTTCTTTTTATTGTGGCTTTGGTCAAAGGTGGGTCTAGAACAAGGAAATGCACAGAGAAAAAGCAGCACAGGCAACATTTGGAAAGAAACCACTCTGGACAAAAGGATCATTGGGAGCCAAAGGATGTGTGGAGGTCCCATTTGCCCCATCTTTTCTCATACATAGAAATGTAAGCCTTTGCTCCCAGGAGAGGCTACAGTCTTGTAGACACACTGCAGAGCAGCATACAGATCAGCCACCAGGCATTACACAGAGAATCCAGCTTACTTTTACTTTGAAAAGTGAATGAAAACAGCATCAATTGCTCTATCATTCTTTTGTGTTATCATCCGACAGGATGAGAACCTCAGGAACCATAAAAGGTACATTCTCAGGAGGCATAAAAGATAATGACTGACGTCCAGGTAAGTGAGCAACACTTTTACCAGTAGCAAAGTCTGTGATATTGAGATATTTTCTATCACATCTAAGTACAATGCAGAAAATGCATGTGCTTACAGAGGGAAGAGATGTGAGACAACCCAGGGTCTGCTGTTAGTACTGGGTCTGCCTCTAGTTCTTCAGATCCACACAGAGAGCTGCCAAGATTGAGTAGAACTGACAAAAACCAACTGGGAGTAAAAGAAGGGACTCTCATATCTAGTGTCCAACACATAACCACAATTCTAAAAATAATACACACAAATGTAGTCATTTACCTTAATAGAATTATCTCGTAGGCCACTGATAATTTTTTCATCATCATACTGTAAACAGTAGACACCTTTACTATTTTCAGAGCGGCACTGAATCCTCTGCAAGTTGTGTCGTCCACACCGCCAGTTAGATTCTATAGTCTAGGAGGGAAAGGAGGCAACAGATGAGTTTTTGTGAATCAACTATTCTATTAAGCTTCAGACTCTGGCATTGCTTGCAGAAACAGCATACCACTGATACCCGTCTTGGTTTGCATAACTGTCTGTGGATAGGAATATCATGCTCTTTTCCAAGTAAGACATTAGCCCGACAATGTGTTTTCTCAAACGTTCCCTGCCCGTCTGGCAACTATCATTGGATTTCCAATGAGTTTGGGTTGGGTTTGAAAAAAAAAGAAGAAAAAAAAAAAGGCCTAGACAGAATTCAATATGCTTCAAGAATGCCACTTGCACCCAAAACATACAAATAAATAATAACTCGCTGGGTCACTCTCTAATGCCAATTAAAATATCTGGCAAGAGCCCACCACCAACATTAAGCTTATACTGACAATCCATGTATCCATTCAGAGCATTGTCTTGATCACCCAAAAAATACTGAATAACTATTACATGCCAACTACTAAAGAAAGAATTTTATTTGCTATCATTTTTAATTTTCCACCAGACTGAGGCTCTTTTAAAATAAGAATGGCACATTTCAGCCCTAGACGCTCATTCTTTCATCATTCATGCAATATTTGCTGAGATGCTGGTATATGCCAGGTACGGGCTGTGCTAGGCACTGGGGCTGAAAAGATCAACAGGAAGCATGTTGTTCTGAAAAAAGGCACCACCCCAGCACCGAGGCACACAGTATCTAAAACGAGACCTGCTCTAAACATAAGTGTCTTTGGTTAGATGACTGAGGCAACAACTTTGGAAGGCAGTTCTTATTATTTCCCTTTCACAAACAAGGAAACAGTTGAATTTGCCTGAATTGAATGAAAGCAAGAAACTGAATGAGCTAGAAACCATACTTAGTTCTTCCTGACTTTGAGCCCAAGCCTCTTTTAAAATATGCAGTGACTTCAAAGCATAATCCTAGCTACTGAGGCAGTAGAGACAGAACACTACATCAGCAACAATTCCAGATAAAATATAAGTGTCAGATGAGTGAGTAAAAACCATAAGTGCTGTGGGAATTAGGGGAAGATAAACAGCTCTATGGCTGAGACCAGTGGGAAGTGGGTCATGCCCAGAGCATTAGAAGACCTAATCTCTGGTAGCAGATATGAGGGATTTTCAGGATCAAAAGATACAATGTGTCTACAAAGAACAGCCAAAGTGTAAACTCCTGATCCTTGAAATTAGAGGACAATAGGGACTACAATAATTGGTTACACCTGAGCTCAGGATATAGTCTGAAAGATTATTTCCAAGTAGCTTATTTATTTCTGAGTAGCTAAAAATGTAATTAGTTGGTTCGCTGAAGAAATGAAGCTAAATCTCACTTTAGTTCACAACAAGCACTTAATTAGGATTCTGCTAACATCAAACAAAAATTACATTTACTCTTATTTTGAAAGCAGTACACTTTCTGTACACTCCAAATGTTAAAATTCGCTGAAAGCTATATGCCAGATACTAAGCTTTTATAACTATTTTATGTGCTTTATATATTTTATAGCTAACTTAAGAATTGCAACTTTAAAGGTGAAATTGTCCTCAGCTTACGAAAAAAGCGTTAAGAGGGCTGGACACCCTGATACTCATTTATTTAAAAAGAAAAATGTTTCATTCTATATGGCCTCAGTGCTTCACACAGGATCTAAGAATACAGTCCCTGCTCCCACAGAGCTCCTACACATGGCTTTGAGGAAGACAGGACTGCTTTATTTCCAACACACAGTGGATATAAGGAGGTGTCATGGAGATGCCAGGAGCAAGGAAATGCCGAAATGCCCATCTGCCCATCTGCTTCCAAGCCAGAGTTTCTCAGTCAGAAGCACCATTTCTGATGAGTTTATAAAATGTCATTTCCCAAAACAAAACAAAAATTCACCCTACTTTTGCTACCTCTGTCAAGGCACACAACAGATTTGTGTACATAAACAACTTTTAGAAAATGGTCCAGAATATCAAGAATTTCTTAAACTGAAATCAATGCTTGGAATCATTTAGAGAAATAATATATTTTTAGATAGTGACTGAGCCACCTCAGCATGCTAAGCATACCAAGAAAATGCTGACTGAGGAGGCAGACGGACCGGTAACAAGTCTTATTCATGGCCAGTGACTCTTGGCAGTGGTTACCGAAGTTCAAGCTACACCCTCTGGAAGCCCAGACGGTGGCTACAGGAATTATGGCTCCATATGAACCCAAGGTGTATATCTATATCAGGTGTTATTTTAAAAATTCATATATCTGTTCTTAGGTTTAAAATATATACAAGTACATTAAAGTATTATTGAATCAGTAGGTAGCTTTGATTTGAAGTTTATATTTCAAACAAACTAAATATATTTCAGTTTGAAATTACTCTGTATATTTCAACAAACAGAAAAGGCAGATTCACTAACACATGAGCATTTGGGGGGAATTTTTTGTTTTAAACTTAAAAAGAAATGGTATGGAAATTCCCATACCAAAGAATTTCCCACAAGCTCTCCTACTACTCTAAAATGTTTTCTGAAACTGGATGGCTTGGTTATAATCTTTTTACGTAAGCCCTGGAGAGACAGCAGAGAGAACCAGAAAGACATGGGTATAAAGTCACCTAGTCAGCCTGATACATCCTCTGAGGTGTCTGGACAGAGAACACCTGCTGACATGAAAAGTCTGAGCCACCCCTCTTCTGTGACACTCAAAGACCCAGAAGCCAGGGTCTGGCAAAACTCTGCCAGACATCAGACTTTCCATTCTAAGGCAAATGAATCTAAGAAATGGTTTAGCTTCTCAAGACAAAGAGCCTAATTTCCCAAAGTACATTTGTGAGATTTTGCCATTGCAAAATTCTTTGCAATTCTTGATGGATCATTTTAGGAAGTTCCCACTTAAGTTTAAAAATCATTAGATTCCTGAACCCAAAACTGAATGTAGTTTTTGTTTTTGTTTTTTCCCAGGAAAACAACACTGAATCACAACAGGGAGCTGAATACTTTGCTGAACACCAATTCCTAAGACTTCACTAATCTCAATTCCCAAGGCCACCCACAAAAGAAAGCAGCACTTCCTGCTGACTTCCCTGCCCAAAAGACCACCACCATATTTGACAACCCTGACACTCACTAGAATGTTCGTAAACCAGATCTTTTTAGAAAAACTAGATCTTTAAAAATAGGAGAGACAGCACATTGTGGTAGAAAATATTTATGTCAATTAGTAGCTTTGGCAGATGATTTGAACTGTTTGAGCTGCAGTTTCCTCCTCTGTAAAAATGGGGAAACTGGGCCCTCCCTGGTGGGGCAGCGGGTTAAAAGCACTGCACTAAGAAGCTTAAGCCACTTCTCCTGAGTTCGATCTCCGCCTGCCCTGGAGGAGATCCACATGGCATGGCAGACTTCTCCTGGCCCGCCCGCTGCTCCACTCAGCAGTGTACTTCGTTGATCTGCCTGTTCTGCTCCCCACTCTGTCTCTGGTGAATCCTCTCATCCTCCACATCTCTGGCCTGTACCCCAGTTCTGTATGAATAAATAAATAAATCTTTAAAAAAAAATGGGGAAAGTAGTATCTATTTCCTCGAACTGTGGTGAGAGTCAAACAAGGCCCGTCATATAATGCACTCATCACAGAATCTACAAAGCAGCAGTTCCCGGCTTCCTCAATTGCTGAGAATACTGATCTAAAGGAAGGGGCTGTGACCGAGAAAAAAAAAAAAAAAGAAAGAAAGAAAGAAAGAAAAAAAAAGTCTTCTCACCAAATTGCCAGGAACAGTTGTTTCAGTCTAGGTGACAGATATTTAATGCTGATAGCACAGAGTCCTCCCTAACCATTTCCAGAGAGGGGCTCAGCCTTCCAATGAAGTTCGACTACTACCTGTACTTCAGCCACAAGATGGCAGGTTGTTCACAGGTGCACCTCTCTCATCATGCAGATACCTGCCACTTTCACTGAGATATCAGGTGGTGTGGCTACTGTAGGAGTATTTCATGTTTTTGAGAACTTGTAAAATCCCCTTACCCTGTGCAAATTTTCAAAATACTGGGAAAGTAGCCATGATACACAGAGTATACAGCGGCATTTAAATCAGCAAGAGAGTGAAAACAGATGTCTGAGTATGGAGGAATAACATTATTTTTAGAAGCCTAAACACAACTGGGTGGGTGGGCAAGTTTCAGCATTTTCTGGTCAGGACAATGTTAATATCAAGTTTGCAAACCACAAAAAAGCTCCCCACTTTCCCTGAATAAAATGTGGTTTATTGAAAGGTGTGATGCAACACACCATCATTTTACCAGTGGTTTGTTCCAAGGAGAGTGCTTCAAAGGCTTTAACCAGGTGAAAAGAGGGGAAAAGCATATTATGTGAACAAGTTCGCCACTACTCCAAGACGGCCAAAGTGAAAAAATCTAAGTTTGGGACATCAAAACTCTGACTCAAGTTTGTTTTGAGAACTCTCTCTCTGTGTGTAGAGGGACACTGGGGCATGGTAGAAAGATAAGAACATGGACTCTGGACTAAGAATTCCAATCTTGACATTATGAGGATTAAATTAAGCCACTATTGCAAAATACCTAACAATAAGCTCACCATCAGTACTGATGGTGATGACTCAGACTCTAGATAGCAAAAAGAGAACATGACCACTTCTTTTAGTGATGTGCCTCAGGGTTTCCAGGAATACCTTTTCAGTTCAGTGGCACTAACCCCTCTCTCTCAAGAAATGAACTGGCAAGAAACCCAAGAAATGAACCTTTGCATAAAGTATTTTATTCTCCTCAGACTTCTTTCTCACATCCTCATCCTTGAATAATGGAGTTTGGCCACACTAGGCCAAGCTCTCTATTTTTCCCTTCAGAGTTAACTAATTTCTAGTGGATCAATATAGAAGGGCAAAGTCATCTGCTCATCAAAGTGAAATCTGGGAATGGACAGATAATAGGAGCAAATGAACTGTCAGGGTAGAACTAGGAGAGAAAAAAAAAGTGCTGTGAACTGGTAACCTTGCAAAGTATACAGGGGGAAAAAACCACACAGACTCTGCAGTTGTGTGTGGCCAATTGGGGGGGGGGGTAGGTTGGGGGAACACAAACGTCCACTTGACATTCAGGGTGTAATTTATCTTTTGGCAAGGTGCTTAAAAAACCCTTTAAAACACTACCTTTCCTGTAACTGGACTAAAACAAGGCCAACTAATCTTATCTCTCAACTCATACACTTTTTTCAGCTAACAGTCAAGGACACTGAGTACTCTCACACAATTGGAGAAAGATGAGAGGATCACCTTGAAATGTCTGCAAGCATATAACATAACCTCTTTTTGCTCATTTCTTGAATTGTCTACTTTGGAAATAACAGTAACATTATGCTTAGAAGCTAGACAGACCTCAGTTAAAATCCCATCTCTTCTACTTAACTATGTAGCAAATTCTACAATTTCTCTTAGTCTCAATTTCCTGATATTACCCATAGGGATAATATGTACTTTGTTGTAAGAATTAAATGCAATGATCTATGTACATACAACAAAGTGCATGGACTAGTGCAAGGGTTCAGAAGAGGGTATTTATAACTATTATATTCTGCTTATGAGGGTTTCATACCAGCCAAACAGGAAGCAGCTAAGCCCATGAGTCCCCTGTCTGTCTGACTCATGAATTACTGGCAGAATTTTCTACATGTATGTTCAATTTAGACATATTCGCAAATAAAGTTAAGATTTGGGGGGGAGGGGGAACCAGTGATGTACAGTACAAACAAAATATCTGGTTAAATATAGACTAATCAAGTACTCCTTAACAATGTGATCTTGGGCAAGATGTTTAATGTTTTTGAGCCTCAGTTTCTCTAAGTTTAAATAAGGATATGGTCTACCTTTCAGGTACTGCCCAGCATTAAATGACAAAATGTATTATTAAAAAGCTTAATAGAATATTTAGCACAAGTAAATGTTCTCTATGTGGTACATTATTTTTTATTTTATTACTATTAGTGAATATACCAAAGTATAAAACATCATCCATTCAATAAGAGATCTAGCCCACAAAAATCTAGAAGAGACTCTGATGGCCAACCAGTGGGTTTTCCCAAACCACACTCTAAGAACCACTGGGTAGACCACCATGATGTAGTGGTTTTGTGTCAAATAGGGCTCCCCCATAATTCCTCACCTCTGCCGCTCCACTAACTTTTTAAAATGTTATTTCAGTCAGAGGGAACAGTTATGGGAGATGATATTATACTGTCATATTACAGAATATTAAGTTCATACTGTTGATTCTGATAGTTCTCATGGGGATTAAATGAAATAAATGTCACCAAATATTCCACCCAATCAAAGCTTTGAGAGTTCCTGTTTATTGATTTTTTTTAAAGATTTATTTATTTATTCATACAGAACTGGGGTACAGGCCAGAGATGCAGAGGGTGAGAGGATTCACCAGGAACAGAGTGAGGAGCAGAACAGGCAGATCGACGAAGTACACTGCTGAGGGGTGCAACGGGCGGGTCAGGAGAGGTCTGCCACGCCATGTGGTCACCTCTGGGGCAGGCGGGGATCGAACTCATGCGGAATTGGCCTAAGCTTCTTAGTGCAGTGCTTTAACCCGCTGCGCCACCAGGGAGGGCCCGAGAGTTCCTGTTTATTAATGATTGATTTCAAACATCAACCTCATAATAAAAGACTTGATAAACTTATTCAAGGAAATTTGGGAATTTAAAAAATAATAATAGTTGGGGTGGGGGGGGAGAAGAAAATAAAATAGTTTCTAAGATGTATGCACAAGAAATGCCTTAGTACAACTACCTAGAAGTAAAAGACCTCTTCCCCGAAACACACATACACTAACCTAAAATTCAAGTTAACACTTCATCTCTGCTACTAACACTGCTGAAACAATTTAGTACACATTTTGAACTGCCAATGGATTAATTAATTCCTAAACTTTATGATTTGTTTGGCAGAAGTTTTAAATGATTTAACCTTCCTTAAAAGGTTACTTTATAGCTCATTTTAGGGAGCAGGATACTTAAGACAAGGGTTTGTTTTAAATAATGATACTCCAGTCACATTCAGGTTTACTGTTAATGGACAGAATGATTCCATTAGTTCACATCTGCCTTGCAAAAAGGAGGCGGTACCTCCAAAAAGCGCATATGTTTCTCCATTAATGAATTTTGGCACAATAACTTTTATGTCTATCACCTGGGGGACAGGATTACTTCACATTTGGGAAACTGAGTGTAACTTTATGGGTGATACTGCATTGCCTAGCGAAGGCTAACTTTTCTGCCAAGGAGGAAATAGTGAAGTAACTAAGACTCGCCAAGAACACATGTGAAAGAGTTAATGAGAAATGCCTGTGCATGTCTTTCCTGGTTCACAGAAAAGGGTTAAATAATAAAACCGAACTAATTAGAACACATGAACAATATCAAACATCTCCAACGCTTCTCATCAGGTTTACAGAGTTTTACTGGTCTGGTGAAGTTATACTCAAATCCAAAATGATCCAGGAGTTGTTTGCTTGATAAAAAACAATTATTGCATAGCCTCATATTTGAGACATATTAATGAAAAATTATGGGAAATTTACAAAGTAAATTGAGACTCTGCCTTCAGTTTTCTAAAAATGGCTCAAAAATGTAAAACTATACTTACCAAAAAAACCAGACCTTGGATTTTGGGGAAAATTTTCAAGTTAAAATAAAATGTTAATTTTAGATCAAGGTTTTAATTAATTGGCACTTCATATTTTAGGAAAGTTGTATCATTTTTCACAAAAAAAGATTATCTACTCTTAAGAATAACTGGAGAGGGCATTCATTTCCTAGTGGCACAAGGGTTTGTTAAAGCATAGCACTAAGAAGCTAAAGCCACTTCAGCATGAGTTCAATCCCTGCCTGCCCCGGAGGTGACCCACATGGCGAAGCAGACCTCTCCTGACCTGCCCGCTGCTCCCCTCAGCAGTGTACCTCATTAGTCTGCCTGTTCTGCTCCCCACTCTACCTCTGGTGATTATTCTTACTTCCCCTGCACCTCTAGCCTGTACCCCAGTTCTGTATGCATAAATAAATAAATCTTTAATTTAAAAAAAAAGAATAACTGGAGATACTACATTGATGGTGACACATTTGAACCCAGAGTTCAACTTTAAAAAAAAAAAAAAATGACTAGTTCCATGATTTAACATCAACAGAAGACTTTAAGGCAATATAAAAAGTTGAGAACAAGATATATAAAGCCCATAAAACAGATAAATCATAAAATTACCTCTATATCCTGGATAATCTTTGGGTATAATGACCTATAAAATGAATTGGGAGGGCCATCTGTGGGTCTGTTTTTAAACAGGTACTGATCCCTGGCAAATAAAAACAAACAGCTGTTACATTTTTACACGTAAAAGTGTTTTTATTTAAAAATGGTACTTACAAAAATGCTGTATTTTTCAAGTGTTTTGACTTAATAGCTCCAAAGGAGGATTTCTGACAAAGTTGTATATAGGTCTCTAATGTGAGTTTTGGCCTTTTATTTTCTGAATAACAAACACATAAATATCTAGTCTTTCACTCTAAAATTTAACAAAAAATGTTAATATTGCTTTGCAGAAAAATCTAACTTAACACACACACTTCAAACATTCCTCTACAAAGAAAATGCAGATCTAACTCACAACACCACCTGTACTTCTGTCTGTAGCTCTTTCTCTGTGTTAAATGGGAGGTAACTGACATTTACAGAGCTATAAAGCTGTATTTCAGCTAACAGGTTTTCTCTGAAAATTCCTGCCCAGTATGGCTCCCATATCCTCAGCCATAAACATTAAATAACAAAATGGCATTACTTGACTTTGTCATGTTTTCTTTCTTCTTATCTATCTTTTGATAATAGTACCATCACCTAAGAAAATGGAAATGGAAAGCATAGCTGTGCAAAGCCAAATCACTCATTCAAACTACACAGTACTTTCTAACTTTAATAAATATAAAGGAAATATACATTTCAAACAGGAAAATTCTAACAGCTTTCACTGTTTTTTTTGGTTTGTTTGTTTTGTTTGTTTCTTTCTTTCAATTCTTGACTACCTATCCTTTCCCCCTTGTTTGAAAAAGATCAATCCATTTTTGCAAGGACAACTGCTCTTCTGGGTAAACAAGCAGACCCTCTCTCAACCCAAGTACTTACCACCCTCTTCTCTCTGAAAGCCCCTTCCATAGAGGGTCAGTGCGCACCATCCGTTCAATCAGCTTCTTCCAAAGCATTCCTTCAGAGATCACTCGCTGCCACTCTTTACACACCAGCTCTGCTGCACACAGAGACCTGGCATCCAGGTATGAAAGAATGTTTTCTGCTATGTGATCTAAGCCTTGCTCTACAAAATAGAAAAGGCAATGAAGGTATAGGAAGAGAGAAAAATGTATCAGACACTGCTTCCTTAAAAATAACAGGAATAAAGAAACTGAGCCAGGTAACACACACAAAAAATAAAAGTTCTGCAGATACACAAGCTCACAAGCACATAAACATTTGTTTCTTTAGTTCTGATTTTTTAGATAATTGATGGCAACAGTTCTTGTGTGTAAAAGTCAACCCTGAAGAATTATGTATTTGTTAGATATTATAATGGAAGACTTGTTCTCATATAACTCTTACAGAACCCCAAATTTTACAGATAAGGCACAAAGAGGCAAATCCCCAAGGTTTCACAACTCAGAAGTAAAGCCACCACTAGAACTCTCACCCTAAAACTTGTGTTCTTTCTCCTCTAATAGACTGTCTCTTATTACAAATCCCAAGACCAAAGCCACAAAGTAAGTGAAACACTAACACATCTTTAAAAGCATAAGAAAAGTTAAATGACAGTCCATGTGTTAGAATCAGGTGAACTCAAATGTTTTTCTTTGAATCTTTACTTCATCTCCTTTGTGTGAAGGTAAAATCTGTAAAGTGAAGCGGGTAGCGCCTCCACAAATTCGAGGAGCCGAGGAAGTTGACCCATACAACACAAGACTCCTTTCAAATACAACAGGATTCAGCCTCTGTATGACACAACACTATGGTCAGTATTATTGTCATCTGCACACTCTCTGCACACTTGAAATTCTAGGCATGTTCTCTGTAGCTACAAAAAATAAAGCTCACCCCCAGGCCTATAAAATGTAATGCTGGGAACACTGTAGGCTGCAAATCCCAATTTCAAGTTCAGATTCACCCCCACTAGTTCTATGATATGAAATAAATAGTAAACCATTAACACTGCGTGGTCACTGTTCTTGTGTTTTACCATCTGTCAATTAAATGGCATCACCAGTAACAACTGCTCTTTCTCATAGCATCTACAGGAATCAATAATCTTATGAAAAGATTAAAGACAATAAAGTACCATACAATGTTAGTATTTTTTCTTTTCTAAGGTGAACAGAAGCTGTATAGTAGCAACAAACGTGACAAGTGTAGGGAAATTACTAAACTCAGAGCCTCGGTTTTCCTCATTTGTAAAAATAAGGATAATACTCTCTGCCTTGTTTTAAAAATATCAAAATGAGATGATGCATTAAAAATGCTTTACAGGCCATCCCTGGTGACGCAGCAGGTTAAAGCACAGCACTGAGAAGCTAAAGCCACTTCCGCATGAGTTCGATTCCTGCCTGCCCCAGAGGTGACCACATGGCGCAGCAGACCTCTCCTGGCCCGCCCGCTGCTCCCCTCAGCAGTGTACTTCATGGATCTGCCTGTTCTACTCCCTGCTCTGTCTCTGGTGAAGCCTCTCGCCACCCCTGAGCCTCTGGCCTGTACTCCAGTTCTGTATGAATAAATAAATAAATCTTTTTAAAAAATGCTTTACAAATTAAGGGTTTCTTCAGCTTTAAGAATGACTATTTACACTGTTGAATGTAATCTATAGGTCCCCTTCCTACTCTATGGCATCCAACACCCAAGACGTGCATTACACTGGGACCTTGCTCACTTGCCTTGCACATGTCAGTATATTATAGTTAACTGCTGTTAAAAACCACACTGTCTTCATCAGTCATCCTATCACAGCACACTCCTAAGATGGCAGTGAGTTCAAGTAAATCCTAAAAACCACTCCAGTCCAAACTTCTATTAAACTAATTCCCTGAATTCTGTCTTATGTAGTCAGTTAAGAGAGGTAGGGCCAGGGAGGGCAGTGATGTACAGTTTATGGTTATCCTTACTATCATTCAATGTTTTATATAAACCTTCCATTTTGGCCTTTAGAGTTCTGGTTCAGTCATTCAGAAAAGAGGATTCTGCTCCAGATTTGCATGATGGGCAAATGTAGCAATTCTTCATCCCAAATTGCTGGCAAACATGTCAAATGGGTCAGAACCAAGGACAGCACCTACGATGCACTCTAATCCCTCCAACCTACGTTGGATCCATTCATTTATACTCTCAGGGTATCAATATTGAGTCACTTATCTTGCAACCATCTGGATCATTACTGTTGGGCCCACATCTATCTATTCAGTCCTCAGGGACATAAGGAAAAAGTCTGCCCTGTGAAGATACTACCACCATTATGCCATTTTTCGGAACTACCAGTTTTGTAACCTTATCCAAACAAGGTGAATTTAGTATGGTTATTCTGTGTTCCCTTGCTAGTGCTTACTATATAAAGTTGGTACTGTAATCCTTTGTTTATAAGTTAGCACTAGACACTCTTTTTAGCATATACAAATGTCCATCGTAAAAAAATTATAAAACACACAAGTAAAAAAAAACTGCAATCCCATCTCTCAAATACTGGCTTATAATGTTCTGTACACATTACTAATTAACCTCTTATAATCTGCTTAAGAATTCTTTTAGAGAATTTAACATCATATTTAACAGCCAATTACCTCCCACAAATACACTTTTTCCAGTTCTCTAACTCCTCAGTCAACAAAAGTGAACAGGGTTCCATCATGCAGGACTACTAAACACAGCAGTTTACTGCACCTGTAGCCCTGCCTACTAGATTCTGATACTTCTAAAAGTGCCACAACTCTGAAAACCCCCACTACAGGTTCACCACCTGTATACATATCATTGTAGGCAATGTCTTTGGTTGACTTGTTTATAGAAGCTATGTTGTTTCCTGAGTATTTTCTTATTTTTCCTATATTGCAATTTTTCTATCCTTTCTTTTAAAACTATTACCTTAAGCGGTTTTAAAACTATTATTTTTATGTGAGGGGGGAAAAAGGTAAGCTGAATGAGGAGTGAATGTATGCTTTTCATTCTATTACCAATCACTATTCTCTATTCAAAGTACATTCTTTCATTCTTCATACACTTAATTCATATAGTGGGTTGTTTTCAACTCTCTCAGTTTACTTACCCATTCTGGGCATTTTACTTGCTCACAGTTTGGCCTCTTGACACCATTCTCAAAGGTTCTGGCTGTCTTTCTGTATACCTTCATGATTATGTGCCCCTTTTCTTTACATATGCGTAATAAAACCAAGGAAATCCATGGGTAATTTTTGGCATTCTATTTGTGCCTCTCTATTGCTAGGACTCACAAGTTACTAATTAGAATTTCAAATTTAAACTCCTTAAATCATCTTTTGTTCTAGAGTCTCTAGTTATAAGCTAATAAAACTTGGTTCTTCTATGAATTTCTCTCATTCCAGAGTACCTACCTGACCATTTTCTAGTTTCTACACTTAAGAGTAGAACACAGTTGAACTTCTCAAGCTTTAAATTACTTCCATATCACTAACCAAAATCTTTTAATTAGTTATAAATACACCCCTGACCAATTCCATTTCTCTGAGAGAGGAAACAGCAAAACAAGAATGTTTTTGGACATTTGCCTTTTCTGGCCCCCAGGACTGCTATATCTCTATTGTCTATTATGAAGTGACAGATCAATATCTAAATCTTCCACCTGGCTGGGTGGTCTACTGAGCTGTTTCTCAGAGCTTGTGTGGTTAGATACAAATCTTAATGTTACTGATTTTAAAAACAAAAAATAACAGTAGCAAACAGATTCCCTGGAATTTGCCTGACTGAATCACAAACTAATTGATGATGTGGCCCCAGGAATCTGTATTTGTAAGTGTCACCAGATAATTCTGACAAGCTGGCAGCTTTGGCATTGTAACAATGACATTCCTTTCACTTCTAATATTTTTTCCTTTCAATAGTTCATTGCAGTCATTTATTACTATATTATTAAAGGATTTCTGCATAAGAAATCATTACTAGCATATTTCTTTATCAAATGCCTTCAGATCAATTCAGTGACATCTCAGTGATATTTCTGACTTGGTATATTTCCTTTGGTTAATACTTTAAATTCACTCATTCCAGAAGGCAGCATGTTTTAGTCTTTTGGGAAAAACACTGAGTTAGATAATCAAGGTTAAAGTTAATAAGTTTTCCTTTTTGGATCTTGGTCTTCCATAAAATAGAAATAATGCTAAATGTTTATATTGGAGAAAGTAACCAGTGATGGATTACGTAGCCCTCTGAGATTGGTATTCTCAATATCCTCATTTTATAGAGGAGGGACTTCCTAATCTTGCTGTAAAAGTTAGTAAGAGTAAGTTATTAGGAGCCAGGTATTTGATAATATCAGAGCTTTTTTCTCTTCCCCAAACCTCTTACTTGGTCATTGGTCAAAGAGTTAAATTGCATTCCTCTTCTATTATTCCCTGCAGAGAAAACAGAATACACCTCCTCTAGAAAGTGTTAAACCTGCTCTAATCAACTGGTGTAATTCTCATTTCCGGTAAGTGTTTTGAGACAATATAAATCACAGCCTGTTTGGAAACCTAAGGTGCTCAACTTAAATCAGCCCTATTCAGGACAGAGAGGTCCTGAGTTCCCTTGCCTGAGCTTAAAAGTGCCTTGAGGTGTTAAAAACTAAGCATTCTCTTAAGTACCAATGTCTGGGCCTCATTTATTCTATCGTGATGAGACACCCCATCTCCTCCAGCCACCTCCTTCCCAAGGCAACAAGAGCACACATTATAGCCCCAGAAAATGAGGCCAGAAGACTGCACACACAATGCTAAAGAAGTGCTGCTGCTAATTATAGGCACCAGATGAAGGCCTGGAAAAATTTCAATAATAAATTAAAACAATTAAAAGGCACAAATTTCAAAGCTCAATGTGTAAATAACACTATATCAAAATGAAACGCAAATGTGTAGAGTCAGTTCAATGCCCTTGACTACAGCCAGTTTTAACACAGCTGCTTAGATCATACAATTACAGAAACTTTTATTATTTTAGAAATGCATTTCAAAGAGCAGCTGCAAAGAAACTTCCTTCTCTACCCACCCCTGCTGTCCCTCCTCCCCCCACCCCCAATTCCTAGTAATGGATCTAGTTGTAAAATCTGCAAGGAGAAACCTTTGGGGGTAGGGGCTGGAGGAGGGACAATGCGACTGGTGAAAACAACAGTCTGTCAGTGTATGTTAAATCTTCGGCCCTTCCTGACCTAAGGATTCACACAGAAATGACATGAAAGGTGCTCAGGACACAAAGTACAGCATTTTGTTTTGCCAACAGAGTGGCAAACACCCCTACCTACATGATGTCAGGGAGAATAGATTCAGAAATTAGTGGGCGAATAATTAAAACTTCCTGGCAATAAATCTTATTACCTCTGGAGAAACAGGTGCTTCCTGCCTCTCAGAGCTATTTTTTAAACCTGCCCTCCTCCAAGTACTCACCAGCTGCCAAGCGTATTACATATTTTATCTTTAATCTTCACAATATTCCATGAAATATCATCACTATTCCCATGCAGATAAGGAAACTGAGGCCTTATAAAAATGTGGTCACAGAAATATTAAGTGAAGGAACCAGATTCAAATTTTGGGGGTGTCTAAATATAGCATCCCATGCTTTCCACTCTGGCACACTGGGTCTTTGGCCTTGCATTCCGCCTAATGCCTTAGCTAAGTTCTTTCTTCCACATCTCCCAACACCTTTGAGCTACAGTCCATAATGGTTCATCAACCTTCCTTGTAGCTAAGAAAAATGAATAAACCATGACCAGGAAACACAGTGGTTCAAAAGTTTTAATTGCTTAGACACCTCACCAAATGCAGCACCAATGCTTATCATCTTCTTTGAAGTACAATCTGCCTCTACATTAGATGGCATAAATTTTCCCTTTAACAACAGTTCTTGCAAACCACAAACTTAGCCTGCAGAAATTGACATTGCAGACTAAACATTTACCATGATTTTTAGAAAAGCATATCATAATTATCACTTTTTCCACTGAAGCAAAAGGAGCCAGAGACCACATTTTCCATTTTCCCTATACTGACAGGTACAATATTCACAGCAAGCATTAAGAAGTCAAAACCATAGACAGTTTTTATAGAAATAATGATTTTCACAAAAAAGCCTTAGTTTGACTGTCAATTTTAAAAGAGTAGAAATTCAAGCTCAAGATCATCTGCAGTAAAACTGAACACCAAACTAGTATAATGATTAGTAAGCTGCTCCACACATTATTAACTCTAAATATGAGTAGACATACATGGACCAATTTCTGCCCTAATGCTCTTAGGCAGGGCCTGTGTTAAGAAACTAATGCCACGTTTAATCTAAGTCTACTAGACACTGAACACAATCAAGTTGGCCAGTTTGTCCCCAGCTATTAGATTCACATGTGTGATAAATACTGACATATGTATATATGTTCAGGTCAAATCCTGTTAAAACAAATAGCATTTTAACAAAAATATTTCCATGTCCCAGCCAATGGTCCATTTATTTCATGTAATATTCAATACCACAAAATTCCACTTTAACAGAGATATGGACAATGCCTTAAAATTCACTGTAATGAAAACTGAATTGTATGCAATTACACTAACCATATTTATATACATAACACATGTTCATCTGTTCTGTCTCTTCTCCAAGACTGTACACTCCCCAAGAGAAGGAGTTGCGCTACCTCTGAAATATCAAGAGCACTTCAACAGTGCCACCTTGTGGATCTTTTGTAAATGAAATGTAAGGTGAATTACCTGACAGTAAAATGTCTGAGAAGAAAATACAGCGAGGGAAAAAAAAGTAAAAAATAATCAATCAAAAAGAAAACAAAAAATAACAAAGACAAAAAACAACCCAAAAAAGAGATTTGAGAAAAACGGAGGCACAGCTTCATTTAGTTAAAAGCACTTAAGAAGAATAAGCACAACCATCAATTTTAAAGCATGACCCTGTTCTTTTCTTGCTGTGAGATGTAGCTAGGTCAACAGAAAGGCAATTGAGGCACAACACACAGAGGAACCTCCTTGTTAGTGTGTTCGTCTTACTTACCTATAATTCTCTCTCCCCTCCTACAATTAAAAGCTTGCCGCTCCCATCTCATTTCTACAACTAAAACTAATTATTACTGAATAGGTTGTAAATCTATACTTAGGATCTTATAACAAATTTTCCAGGATAATCTTAATTGTAAGTGATTTCAGTTTTTGCACTAACTTTGACCCAACCCATACCATCTTACCTGCACAATCACCAAGATGTATGATCATGGGCATTTCGCCCCCAATTTCCCTGACCTTGACTTCCTAACCTAAGTAATCCGAAAGCACACTTAGAAAAGACTTGAGGGCCCTCCCTGGGGGGCACAATAGGTTAAAGTACGGCAATACAAAGTTAGCCACAGCTACTACAGCATAAGTTCAATCCCTGCCCAGGGAGTTGACCACAGAGCACGACAGACCTCTCCTGTCTTGCCTGCTGCTGCTCCCCTCAGCAGTGTACTTCGTCAGTCGGCCTGTTCTGCTCCCCACTCTGTCTCTGGTGAATCCTTTCAATGCCCTTGCACTTCTGGCCTATACCCCAGTTCTATATGCATAAATAAATAAAAATCTTTAAAAACAAAAACAAAAGAAAAAAAAGATGGCCAAGATCACTGAGTAATTAAATAGTATTATTCTAGAAAGTGTGATAACATTTTGGAACAATTTGGAAAAAATGGAGCAACAATGCATGGTGATCATGACCTCCAACTATACTGATCACTTTTGAGTAGGCCAGTACCCTTGAAGAGTGACATCTCTATATTAGCTAGTCAAATTTAAATT